GAATATATCCAGGTGATATTAATCGTACTGACATTTGCACGAAAATCAGTGACTTTATTTGTGATACTGCTTGCATCCTCGATTCCTGTTCACAAAACTCATCAAAAACACTTCTGCTCTGTTGACTCACTGTAGGCTAATCCATGCGTGGCCATTGTTCTTGGCATATTGTTTCCACTGTAATGTATTTAACACCTGCAATTCATCTGGTCATTCAAGCCAACATTCCACCATGCAATATAGCAACTCCATCCTCAAATTATTCAATACCTGCACCTCCAGATTACCAATCTCTGTGTATGACACTATTAAGAATTTGATCACGTCCAGCAATACACAGAGGTACCAAAGCTGGTTCTAAATTAATAAGACATATAAAAACTATCCGTACTACATGCAGTCCACTACCACTTTGTAATGGTGTAAAGACCACTAATTTAGTCAAGTCTATTCACAACTGCAGAGATACCACTAGAAACATTATACGCATACCACTCCAGGATAGACAAACCAAATCAACCAATCAATCATAATAACGTCACCATTGCACTCTTCAATGCACATTCTGTCAACAATCCTGAAAAAAGGACGGAAATAACAACATTCGTCACTGATTACACTGTGAAATTATTGTTTATTACAGAAACATGGCTCAAACCACGCGGAGATGAAGCAAAGTGTTCTGATTTAACACCATCAGGATATACAATCAAGTCTTTCCCTTGCTCTGCACGAGGTGGTGGGAAATATATTATCATCACTGAAGCTCTTTCATCTCACATTACATGTACATCTGAATTTCCATTTAATCATCTATCCTATGAATTGGTTCAGTCATCACTAACATTATCACAGAAAATATTCAATTTCTGCTGCCTGTATCGCCCACCACCTAGTCACAAGAATAAACTCACGGATTCACTGTTTATTGATGACATTTTCAATCTATTAGAGTACTGCAATAACCTTCCTGGTTTGTCTGTTATCCTAGGTGACTTTAACGTCCACCATGACTGTCCACAAAATGCAACCACCTAAAAGATGATGGATCTACTATCAAAATTCGATCTCACCCAAACTGTATTACAGCCAACTCACAACAAATGACATATTCTTGAATGGCTACTCCATAGAACTGATGACAATCATGTCTTGTCCTCTAATGTTTCCAATGCTATCGCCTCTGATCATTACTGTGTTATTAGTCGCCTTAACATCACTGAATGCCTCTTGCTTTAATGCAGTCAGCACTGAATTAAAGGCCACCAAGCAACATCGCCACCGTGCAGAGAGACAGTCAAAGAAACTAGTTACCAACTAGTTGTCCACGATGTCTAAACCACCTACTATAGTGAGAAGATTACAAATAGCAGTACTTGGTAGAAGTGTGACTGCTACTCTGCCATCTATTTCCCATCAATTGGTTTGTCTGAACGCTTTCTAGAATACTTCGACAGTAAAGTAAAATTGATTAGAGGAAGGTTGGATTGCCAAGATCATGACATTTCTGTCCATAGCGAAAAACGTTTCCACGGTCACACTCTCAACAATTTTAATCTGATTTCTGAAGAGCTAGTGAAACGTGTGATTCTCAAATCTCCAGCTAAATTCTGCGATCTCGAGATCATATCAACTAACTTAACTAACTAACTTAATTGAATGCTTGGATACCATATATAATAACAATAATTAATGATTATACGGTGGCCCATATGTGCCATGGCACAGCTATTGTCTTGTGTCAGTTTTTTATTACCTCATGACAAAACTAGAATCACCAACGACATAACTCTATAATCTCATGACAAGTCATTAATGTCTCTCACACAAATTTAACATCTCTTAACACAAGCCCATTATCTTGTGACGTAACTTTATAACAACGTGACAAACTATTAACATCTTATGACACAACTGATTAAACTACCAGCACAAACCTATTATCTCTTGACACATTTCTACCATCTCGTGACACAACTTCAAATCCTCGTGACGTAACTTTATAACTACGTGACAAACTATTAACATCTCATGACACAACTAATTAAACTACCAACACATACCTATTATCTCTTGACACATTTCTACTATCTCGTGACACAAATTCAAATCCTCGTGACGTAACTTTATAACTACGTGACAAACTATTAACATCTCATGTCAAAACTTCATTCTCACAAGTTATGACAAATCGTGCTTTATTGTGACGGAAGTTGAATTATATATCTCACAT